TATTACAAACAGCAACAACAACAAACAATAATAGTAATATATTGGAAATGTACAGTGGGCAGATGTGACAAAGAAATCACCTACAAATTAAACCCAATAAAAATGAAGAAAAAAAACACTGTTCTGAAATCAGAACAAAAAAAATAGATGTGGAAAAACATTTTTGGGGACGGTCACGTTTTAAAATTTCATGAAAAATATATATATTTGGATTTTGACACTTCCATCGTGTCTCCAAAGGGATCTGATCTATTGAAATTGTCCACCCATAGCTACATTTTATTTCACTTGTTTCCCATATCTCTCTCCCTCTCTCTCTCTCTCTTTACCACAATAGAGTGCATCCATATTTGATTTCAATATTAAGCTAAATACAATCTCATATGATAATGCCACAACATCGTGTCTGTGTGCGGCTATGTATGGAGGTGTGTCTGTACACATGTGGTGTGTGGCCAATAGCATGCCACAGCAATTATATAATTTATTTTAATTTTATTCATCGTTAATTATCAATTTTAGACTAATTAAATTAGTTGTTTGCACAGGCTAAATACAAATTTAACAACTCGCCTCAAATCCCGAGCAAAAACTGTCACAGCGAACCAAAACAAGTGAATTGCATACCTTGTGGCGCATACAACACACATACATAGAGATACATAATGCAATGCTGGGTTTTGGGGCGTATGCGTGTGTGTGTGTGTTTTTGTTTCTGTTACAGATAGTAAATATATTACTGATGCTTTTGTAGTTGTTATCATCATCACATTTCTTGTTGTTGTTGCTGCTGCTATTAGCGTGTGCATGTGTGTGTGCGTGTGTGTTTAGGCCGATAATTAGTTTTTGCCATTTCAAAGTCGTTATAATCAAAGCCACTCTGATTCTGTTTGCAAATGGAAATTTATATCATACGCTCACAAAATTATTACATGATGATATATATATGGATACCATATGATAGCAGGTCCGGCGGATACATCAAGCGCGTGGCAGCCGGGGACGAGGGCAATTTCACAAATTGTTATTTTTCCCCGCAACTCATTTGTTTTTCATACGAATTACCATTGGAAGCCTTAATCTAAATGGCAATTTCCATAATATTTCCATATTTTTATAATTTTGAGGTTCCAAAATGAATTTCGAATGAATAAATACAATCAATGGACCACTCCGGCAGACCACATCAATTGCCATAATAGCAATTATCACTGTAACAATCAAGGATGATGATGGTGATGATGATGACGATGACGATAATAATGAAACTCCAAAGTCAAATGTCTAATACAAAAGGACAATGGGCATGTGTGAGTGTGTGTGTGGTGTGCATTCTGCATGTGTATGCAGCTTATTGTGTTCAAATAAATGGTTACAATTATGAAAATTATATTCATATTTAAATACATTCGAAATCTGATTTAATGATACATTTTTTTGGAAATCAACATTTTTTTATATTTGCCTATTCTCGAACCAAATGGTATTTCGCAATATTAAAAACGGGAATTGTTTTATATGTGGACATGGGTATGAACATAACAATGACCTTCAAAGGAACGGATTGAAATCTCGGACCTTTAAAGCAATTGTTATTGGTCAACAAATTCCCGGGTCCATTGTTGGTTCCCGTGTAGTTTTCTGAGAAAGATCAGCTGATGTGTGGGTCAGCTGATTTTGCTACGAGCGAGAAACTGAACTGGTGCTAAATAATCATTTTTGCGGTAGAAGTGAAACATATGAAATGTACAGGGTGTCACACCATCACGCTTGAATTCCATTACGAATAAATTTTTTTTCTGGAAAACTCTCATCAAAATGCTTTTGTACGCTTGTAAACAATATAATGAGCTGCCACTGGAATAATTTTAAAAGCTGTCGGACGAGTGGCATGGAAATGACATCAGTTTGAAGTTGGTTGCAGTTTTTTCATCTCAACCTGTTTAAAACATTTCTTGGGAGCGCCTAAAGTTGTGCTATAAAAATGCAAAAAAAGTGTCCCTTTGTATTTGTCTTTAAAACAATGTGTAGTCTGATCTTTAGTTCTCTGAAAGTGAAAACAAAATCCAATAGAAGTACAAGGTGGTGAGCAATTACCAAATTCTTGTTGTTTTTAAAAATTTCAATTTTCTTTTTTGTTTTCAAATGTTCAAATATTTTTGTGTTAACAAAGGGAAAGTAGCAGTTTCCAATTTTATAGAAACATATTGTAAATATAAAAAATGTTCCATGTGAAAACTGAAAGTATGCCCCTCACGCCAACAATATTCAAAAAAAAAAAAACTAATGAACCACCGTTTTTGTTTTCCTTTAATTCCGATGGACAGACAGACACTCTGCTGGAGCTCCTCTGGGTCGTTGTAGACTTCCAATGTGCTGCCGTAGCATTTAGCAACTCATCAAATTTCAATTAGTTTTTCCCCGTTTTCTAGGAGGAAAAAAATTATGACAAAACTTGTCTTTGTTACTGTTATTGTTGTCGGCAACAATATCATAGTTCGTTAGATTGTAGTTTTTTTTTTTTGCTTTGTTTCAATCATTTGTTGTCTTTTCTGTTTATCTTCTCAGCATTGCCGACGACTTGGCAACATTTGTTGTTCCTGTGTCTTTGGGCCAATTAAAGAAGTTTTCTTAACAAAAGTGAAACTCTTATTGCCACCGTCAGGCAGGCAGTCAGTCAGTCAGTCTCTATCACGCTCATCAACTCGCTCATCTTGACACGGTTTAAGGTAAACTTGGCGAACAGGAACTGGTGAATGGCTAAAAGTTACTCATTTACATGATATCTGTGCCGAGCTGTGTCTATTTTTAAGCCGGATGATTGTCTCTTATACCCTGATGCTGATGCGGATGCTTTGTCTTCCTGTAACACCGTCTGCCCTTCCATCCATTCCGTCCATTTAGTCAAGGAAATATAACTTCGTTCGATACTTTCTCCTAAATATGCCAAGGAGTGGCAGCAGTGGCAGAGCGAAGAAATGTTATTATACAGCAATTAATTAACCATGCTTTCATTAACTCGTTCAGCTCGTGCTTCTCTCTGGCCTTATCCCTTTCGGCTTAAAATAAAATGACTAGAAGAAAGAATGAAAACTTTGCACAAGAAATAATTCCTACAAAACAAATCTTGCTTTACGAAACGGCTTCATGGACTTTGAGAGGATATTGTGTATAATGCCGATGTTGAGGAGTATGCCGACGTTGCAGGTGGTGGTGGTGGTGGTGGGGTTGGCTTCGCAGACAGATATACAAATAGAAAATTTTCTTCATTGTCCATGCCCAAAAGAATGCTGTATTGTAGCAGCGAAAGCCTTAAAGTATTCCACGGTATCCACGTGACAACAGCCCTTTGTTTAGACATTTCAAATGAAACGTTCAAATTAACGGAATGCCATTCCGAGGACTTTTAAAACAAGTATCTTATCTTTTTCCATAATGAACGCGTTCTTCCATATTCTTGACCTTCAACTTTGGCAAGTTGTGGCCTAACTGCTGTCAATTATAAATTCTTCACAACTTTTAAACTAATTAGGAAAAGAGTTAATAAATCCAGTTGGCTTATTTAGGTCACGGTTTCTGTTTACGACTTCAATTGAGGGAAATATTTTTATGAGGTCCTATTTGCCTGAATATTTAATTCAGATTACACATTCTGTTAGTGTCATATGCAAAATAACATTATCGCATTTTACATATATAAGATCTTTATAACATACTTTTGATCTCTCCGAACTAATCTAAAGCTTAAAAGACAGGTCTGTTCCAGAACTGCAAGAATGTAAAAGTTTTTACTCGGACAACCGATTTTCCCTTTATGATATCGAAAAAAATTGCAAAACTTGTAGATTCTGGCAGGTACTGGGATAGAGCATACAGGATGAGAGGACAGACTGCTGTTATTTCTAAGGCACTCGTCCGACAGCTTTTAAAATCATTCCAGTGGCAGCTCATTATATTGTTTACAAGCGTACAAAAGCATTTTGGTGAGAATTTTCCAGAAAAAAATGTTATTCGTGATGGAATTCAAGCGTGATAGTGTGATTTCTTTATATTTGACTGGAAAACCACAAGTGACTATCGTTATGGCGTTTGACTTTGGTTCAGTTCTTTATGTCACCCTGTATGGTATGCGGTTGATTAAAAACTACGCCAACAGGGCTTTCATGCATTCAAGCTCTCTTATTCTGGAAAGCATTAATAGACAATCTAATTTCACGTGGGAAAATACCAATAACGTGTCTCCGCTGGTACCTGTCTTGATTTTTACGTTAGCACCTCTCATGGAATTCACAGGGGCTAGTTTGGAATTCAGATGAACAATCCTTTGATTGATAATGTGATTTGTTTAAGTGTAGGTTAGGTTTAGGATAAGTTAGATTTAAGGTAAATAAATGAGACATGCTCTCAAACACTGTAGTGCCGGAAGCAAACACGATACACACATTTAGACAATAATTGTAGTTTTCATGCATTTCTTTCATCATTTCTAAATTGTAAACACTGAATTGAATTGGATGGCGCCTAAAAGTGTACTATAAATATTCCACAACTACTTGAGCTGTAAATATAGAAAGTAAATAAGCAATAAGATAGAACAGCCATAATTCACTCTCCATTGAGAAAGAGAGAAAGAGAGTTACTCTTAAATATTTCGGGTGTGTGTGCGTTAAAAGTAATTGCACATGGATATGTTTCCATTTGACGCTCTATTAGCCTGTTTTTTTAATCATTTTTGGAGATTAGCCCACCCGGTGTACGGACGCTATTTCAAACAATATTTTTGCCAGCAAAATTCAAACACTTCCCAACAATATGCTATATACTATACAAGAAAAAAACATATACACAATAAACAAGTGTTTCCCACCTGAACAATGTGTTGCCCCCTTTTCTTGCCCCTCTCAGTTTACCAAACCCCTCCCCACTCTCAATGCCTGCCTACAAACAAGACAATTTACAGAAGACGGAAAAAAAAAACCTAACCTAACTCAAGAACTTACCTCGTTTTTGCGGCTGTTGTATTGACGAAGATGGTGATGGTATACATTGGACAAATACCAATGACGATATTGCAATCCATAGCCAAAGGCAAAATATCCAAGTGGAGGAAGCACCCAACAATGACCGCTGCCAACAGCACGGAGAACTATTGATGTGTCCTTTCCTGCTGCGACGGCTGCAGCTGCTGCTACTGCTGTCGTTATGTTTACAAGCTTTTATGTTGTTGGCAGTGATGTTGAAATTGTTGCCGATACTGGTGGTGATGGTGCTGTTGCTTTTGGTGTTGCTGTTGCTGTCGCCGTTCCATTCAACGGCTGCTAGTTGGCTATAATATTGTTTGCTGTTGTCGATTCGAGCTACTTTGCTGTTGTTAGTGTTCGTATTATGTTGGAGTTCTCCATGAGCACAAGTCGTTGGCGGTGACAATGGCCGAGATGATGTTGGTGGTTTTCTTGCTGATGTTGTTGCTTTATATATACACTCATTTTTTATGTTGTTTGGTTGTGGTATTGTTGTTGTTGTTTTTGTTATTGTTATGTCATTGGATTTATTAAAATTGATATTTTGCCACAATGGCAATAATAACCGAGTTGAAGACGACAACGACAATCTCGACGAGGATGACAATTTTCTTTTCATAGTTGAGCTGGAGCTTGAGCTTGACGTTAGCATTGGCATTGGTGTTGGTGTTGCTGTCGTTTTTGTTTTTGTTGATGTCGTCGTACGTTTAAACATCATAATTGTTGCGTTTATCCGGGTAATCTCTCTTGTTTACTTACTTCTTTGTCAGTTACTTAAAGAGAACAACAACAAATCCAATTTGTGGCTGCTTGACAAGACCGTATTGTTTGTGTCTTTGTTTTTCTTGCAGTTCCGTTTTGTTCGATACAATTGTCACTTTTCAAACTAAAATTGCCTTTGAAAAAATGGGAATCTATGAAAATGGGCGCCTGCTTAGAGTTGAACAAAATTACACTTGCGGAGTGGCATATTGGTGTGATATACACTTGGGGGAATGCTAGTTTAACCCGGCTATACCAATTGTAAGTATTGGTATACACTTACATTGACGCTTCTATCGTGACGTTTTTAAAACGAACAATGGAAAACAGGGTCTATAAGGAATTGGGAAATGCTACATTTGGAAGAATTTAATAAGTTTTAATTATGAAGTTTATGGTTAAATTGGTATAGGACCCTTAACTACTTTCGGCAATAATGAGCTATGTTGGACTCTAGATAGCGGTGTACGAAACTTATAAAAACTAATGGAGTTGAAGTACTGGTCTTTTATTTTCATTTTGAAACGACATACAAATACAGACTCCAAAATTCAGACCCTTTCTGATTTAGCTTGTACGAAATTACGTTTTACTTCCAACCAGGTGGTCAGAGAACGATCAACAACTTTTTGCGTACAGTAGAATGTGACATCGAAATTCTTCAATTTGGTTTCCAGAATTACTTGCTAAACAAAAGCTGGCAGGGCAGGGCCGTCGGAAATTTGAACCTCTTTAGATGTATGTTATTTACATATATTGTAGGCCTTAAATCGATCCCTTAATCCCGGTTTAAGATCCCTCGTAACATTGGAAATAATTAAATATGGTTTACAGTCCATTGGAGTTAACCAACTAAAGGACAAAAAAAACTAATATTCAGTCACATCTCACAGCGGATAAATTTGGTATAAATTCGGTTTGACAGTACCATATTATTGCATGAAAAAAAAAAATGTCATGCAGTCTATTCCATTCAAAAAAGGACACCAACTACATGCCCTCATTCACAACATCCTTGCACGTGTATTACTCAAGGAAAAAAAGACGAAAAACAATAACAGGATGTGAAAAACTAACGCAGAAATGGAAGTAAATGACTTTGAATAATAGTTTGCCATTTGAATTGTGGTGACACACTCAAGTTTCCCATGTAATTGTGTTAATTTACATTTTTTATTCGCACACACACACTCACATACATAATGTACATATATTAATTTGTTGGTGCACAAAAATTCACTTTCGATTGAATGCCACGACTGGAAAATGAACGCACCGATTTTCCAACTGTGATTGCGCAATTCATCCGCGGACCGTTAGCAAAAGCGAACCGACGAGCTCAAACTTTATTTGATGACTGAAACTAAAATCACATCAGCATTAACATCGTCATCATCATCATCATCATAACAAACGGAACATACGACGCGACAGACGAGTGATACAATCTTGTCGGGCAGCAGTGGTAGTAAACGAACGAAGCAAACGGAAGAAGAACAAGAAGAAGAAGGACGAAAACAAAAGAAGGAAACCAAATAAAAACCGAAGCAACACAGCCCCAGTCGTCCGTCCGTCCGATGAGAAAGCTTCTCTTCTTGTTTTTATTTTTGTTTTTCGTTTGTTTTGTTAAAGCGGACTCTGTAGTCATACGTTATGTTTTGGCAGTGTGTCCATTTGTTAAACCGTAATCCAGATTCGCACACAAATCGAACAGACCAACGCGCCACTCACGAGTTCATCTAAAACTAAACTTCATCACAAGATGAACGATGCTTAAATATGTGAGACGAACCGGTTAAGCTTTATTTTGGCAAACACTTTTGAAAGTTTCAATTGTTTACGTGAGAAAGTTTTGCACATGTTTGTGATATAAATGTATCTCTCCCTGTAACTCTTTGAAATTCTCAGAGCTTCAAACAAGTGAAAGCTTCTGATAGGAGAAAGTGTATGTATGCTTTTTTTGGGACAGAAGGGGAAATAGATTCGTATGTATCAGTGATATATTCGAAAAATTCAATTTTTTAAAACTTTTAAAATAAAGCTGTAAAAAGTCGTTAAGTAACGAAAATATCTAAAAACAAGTAAAAAAATAGTTCGGCCAGGCTTGGTAAAAAAAAACTTTCTATATAAAAGTATCTGAATTCAAACGTGTTCCACTTTAAACTAAAAATACCAGTAAGTCCTTTTGGACAATGCTGTTAAACTTTTCAAAAAACAATAAAGTGTGGGAGGCCGTTATATGGGGGCTATACCAAACGGGAACCTCCATAGCCAATTTTATAATTCAAGGATTGTCATCTGTCAAATCTTCTCAAATACCTAATTTGAAACAATTTCGTTGTAAATGTGACTAGGATTATGAAAATAGCGAATATCGGTGGGAATCGTTGTATGTGCGCTATAGGAAAACGTGGACCTAAATATTCAATGTTCCGTCACCAGAACTAGAACCCATTATGAATTACAAATACCAATTTTTAGACCAATGACGTGTAAAAATGTAACAAAAATCATCAAAATACTGAATATTGGGAGGTACAATTATACGGGGGCTATACGAAAACGTGGACCTATATATACTATGTTCCGCCACAGGAGCTAGAACCTATTGTCAACTACAAATACAACTTTTTGGACAAATCCGTGGATAAATGTGGCAAAAACTATTAAAACACTGAATATAGGGAGGTACAATTATGGGGGCTAAACGAAAACGTGGACCTATACATACAATGTTGCGCTATCGGCGGTAGAACCCATTATAACCTACAAATTCCAATTTTTAGGCAAATCCGTGGAAAAGTGTGGCAAAAATAATCAAAATACCAATATCGTTAGGTACCGATATATGGGGGCTATATCAAAACGTGGACCGATATACCAACCATCATAGACACAATACAAATTGTTCTTCCAAATTTTGAATCTCCACGTCATGTGGGCTGTATCGTGATTTCAACAGACAGGCGGACATCGTTAAATCGACTTAGATTTTTATGCTGATTATGAATACATACTTTATGGGGTCTACGATGATCAATCAATTCGTTCGCAAGAAAACGTTATTAAAACAGAGAGACAACATTCAGGGCTGAGCAAGAATATGTACTTTCCGGGGTCTTATGTAATTCTTTCGGGGAGTTTGGTGTCACAAGCCTGAAGCCTGTGTCTTGAAACTTGAGTCGAAGCGTTGCCAACACTGGCTGCCAACAATTTGAAGAAAAGTCTAGTTTGAAATAAATATAACCAGTCAAATTTTTATATTTTAATCATTTTAATAAATATCAGAAATATGTGGCACAAATATGAAAGCAACCGCAACCACTTTTTGCAGTCCCAAGTTAAGTTTTTAACTTCAGCAACAATCAATGGAATTACGAAATGTAAGATACCCATAAAATAGCAAAAATTGTATGCAAATTCAATCTTTTTCCAAATGTTTCAATAGTCCAGGCAAAACAAAGCACACTCAATCAGTGTCAACATTACGCTTGCCCGGATAATAATACATCTACGTATTTTGACGACCGTGCCGAATTGGCGTATGGACTAGGAACATTGCCCAAGCTCTTGAAAGAAATTGGAAGTGATGATGCCACAGCACAATTTAGAGCTATCAACTCGTTATCGGAATATATAAGAAATCCGTTGCATGCTCAAAGGGCTATAACGCAATACCAAATTGTAAGAAGGTAAGACAATGGACACCAATAACTACAGCAAATCTTCATTAAATATTTAATCGTTCCACTACTGGATATCATAAACCCAATGTGGCCCTTCAATCAAATCCTCAAATCCAGTGTGTTGTTGCTTCAAATATTGACTTCCTTGAAATAGAAGAAATATAATTTGCTCAACAAAGCAAAGAAAACATCACCATCAATGTTATTGTAAATAATGTTCAAAAAAGAAGATAGGCTAGTGTTATTCCGTGTTCAGATCACACCGTTCTTTGGATGTTCTTTTAGACCCTATGCAGATAACCGTTTGATTATTAAGAATCAATGTCCCTTATTTTTTATCCTGTAATTTATTTGTTTCTCCTCTATCTCACTCATTAATCGGCTGAAGACTTTGTATACATATCGCAATATGAATAAATAATAAACATAATATCTCTTGCAGATGTCAAAATCTATTGTTGCGTCTACGAATAAAAAATCAAGAATCCAAATGTAGAGGTCTGGACTGTTTACTAACAATTTTTTGTAAGCATTCCAGTATAAAAACGGGGACTTTTACACCAATTTTTCAATCATCTTTTTAGATTACATCTCAATGCATTTAAATGGCGTCCATCAAATTGTACGTAGTAATCGATTGTTAGATCAGATCTATGAAATAGTTATAAATCGCGAAACCCATATGCCAAAGGCTACAAAAATTTTGGCTTTGCTTAGCGGTCAACCCGCTGCCTCGTTATATTTAATTAACTCGTACAATGTCTTGGATAAACTCAAAAGTATTTGGTCTCGTGATATATGTGCTCTATACTATCCCGAGGACTTGTGGTTACATTTACAACATATTTTGGAGTACATTCCCAATGAGGCGGTGAAGTGTGGCTTCTTCGAAATACTGTACAAACGCATAAAAGGTCGCCTTTTCCAATTTCATCAGTTCGATTTGAAATGTTTTGCTTTGCTATGCCGCTCCGAGGAAGGACAGCAACGTTTTGGGGCTATCGATGGTGTCAAGGAATTGTATGGAATTCTCAAAGATCCCTTGGCGAAACTGAATACTTACGAGAATGTTGTACTTACTTTAATGAATGGAATTATGTCCAAGCAAGTGTTGTGGAGATGTCGCGAATTCCCGGATCTACCACTGGTTATAGCAGAATTGTCGAGAGACACGACAAATTCAAATATGCAGCTGTGGTGTTTTCAGGTATGTACATCTAAAAAATGCTTTTGTATTCTACATACTCATAAGGTAATATTAAGCTTTTACGTGAATTGGGTGAAATGCCTTGCATCAAGCGTTTTACAAGGGCAACGTGTTTGGAAATATTGAAGAACTGCAAAGGTCTATCATTAAAAAATGAAGGAGCGCGCAGTGAACTTTTGTATTGGCTGCAAAGGGAACTCTACCATACTACCAACTTGCGACTGAAATCATTAGATATTTAACATGTTTGTATGTTTTAAAAATCACAATAAATCACAGTTTGATAATTATCTGGCTTAAAATTTAATTATTATCCTAATTTATTTTTGGAGGAAAGTAGTCTCTTGAATCGTTTTCATCCATTGCTGAGCCCAATATGTCATTATCATTAGAACCTTGATTTGATTCAAACACAATTCTGAAAAAAAGAATTGATTAACTTGATGCTCCGATTACAAATTTATGTACAATACATACGGACAAGTTTTGCTAATGTTGGAAAATATATTTTTTATTGGCATTGTCTTCGAATTCAGGAATTCTTGGCAGAATACGTCTAGAAATGGCCTATCCCAAAATTTGTCTGTAGGCTCATTAGCCCTTATAGTTAACTCTAAACCATCCATATGTCGAGTTCCTAGGTTTCGATACCAACCCTGGGACTTCACGTAATTCTGTCTTTCCGCAATCTGCAAACTGTCATCTTCTTCGGTATCATAATCTGCTAATTTCTGTATCACGGTGAGAACTGTCTTTTGTTCAAGCGTCTCATTCGTTAGGAAAGGTGTTAGCAATTCCGAATGTAAAAGTATGTTTGCGTCACTGGCTGCAATAAGGTTTTCATTGGTGCTTTTGTTGTCCAAAATAACAACGGCTACATAACGAAATAGACCAAAATCTAGCTGCCTTACTGGAAAGAGGAGTATATAGGTTTTATTAAATCGAGTGGACATGGTTACTTAAAAATAAGCTGTGACCCACATTTTTCAATTTCCGTATGTAAGTTATCGCTCGAAAGTTGATTGTAAGTACATACTTTATTGTTCAGCTGACCATTTTCGAAAGTTTCCTTTAGACGAGCTACGTGGTCGTCGTAATTCTCAACCCAATTAAAAATAAAAACATTGGTGGCAGACAGATCCATTTTTCCAGAAACCTAAAGTAAAAAAGGGGTATTTTCGGAACTTTGGAACCATATATTTCGGGAAGTATTGATTTCCCAATAAAAAATTGTGCCGCTGTGCTTAGGATAACAAGACCTACCTTCGGTAAAATTTCAGAAATTTTCGTCAACTGGAGCTAAACTCAATTTGTTCCAAAATCTCGCAAATATTTAGTATAATGTTTTAACCATACTTTCCTTGTGGCTTGTGGATGTTTTAAATCAATTGTAAATTTTAAAGGAAGTTGACTGGGAGGTAATTTGGCCAAAATGCAATGTATGCCGAATCTGCAATAAGACTGATATTGCAGTTTAAAAAAACCGGTATTATTTAAAATAATCTACAAAACCTCACAATATTTGCTGCCTAATAATGTACAATCATTTAACTAATTTACTTAAAGCAGCATACGGTTCCCCTTACAAGCCTTCTGACTACCAAATTTATGTCAAAACGCAATTATTGTGATTGAATTAAAAATTTTGTCCGATATCATTCATAAAGGGAAAATCGGTTATCGTAGTTCGACAGACATATGCTCTGTTCCAGGGCCTACAAGAATCTACTAGTCTTACAATTTTTTTCGATATCATAAAGGTAAAATCGGTTATCGTAGAAAAAACTTTTATGTGGCGTTTCCACTGCACTTGATTCGCTCTCTATTCGTTGTTTGACCCTTAACTATGAAAAAACTACATTATTCTTCACACAAAATTTCCTGAGCGAACACTCATATTTGTACGTTGTTCAAATCAAATCACTCTCAGAACAACGAAAAAATATGTCCCATCCCTAACAAATGAGAGCATTTATCGAAAAAATAAATTATGACATTTAAAAATTAAAAATAGAAAAATTTAATGAAATTTTAAAAATTTTTGGGAAGACTGAAAATTATGAATGAAAACTACAATGTTGAATGGCGTGTGTACATTCAAACGAAAGTACATCTTGTTTTCTCTCTCATTCGAGGTACGCATTTTATCCACGAGTTGAAATTTCCACAGAAAACTGCAAACAAAAGAGGCAATATTTTCAAAAACTTTGTATCGGCAGAAAAAATGTTTGACAAGTGTCTCTCCAGCCAAATTTAAAAATAGAAAAATACAAAAGTATGTTCAAAATGTCAACATTTACACAAAAAGTTGGAAACGTGAATGAAAATTATAAAATTAATGATATAATAAATCTTTGGGAGAAAAACAATCATTTCTTCTATTCATATTAGTGAGAATTTCATGTATGTTCGTATAAATTCCCATTAAAATCAACAAACAAAATTTTTGAAAAAAGGAATTATTTTACTATGAATTACGAATCGTGCCGTATGAACGGGTTAATTCGTGTACATAATTCTGAGAGCGAACAACGTTGTTCGGTTTCCAATGGAAACATGCTATTACATTCTTGCACTTCTGGAACATATCAATGGTAGAAAAAGAAAAAGGAGGAAGGTAGTCGCCTCGACACAGCAGGTGGCAATGAATGAATAACAACAACCAACTTCAACATCGTATAGATCACAAGTGCATCACATGGCACTTGGTTTCAAAACAGTATTTGGAATCCATGATGTTCAAGGCCCATTAAATAGTTTAAATAGTCGTTTAAATCGCACTAAAACTACAATTGAAACAATTGAGATCATAATGTCTGTCAAAGTGTTATAATTATATTTAATAATAATAATGACATGTAAATCGGCTGTTCGTATCGGATGACATGCTATGGATACATATTCAATAGAACCGACCATTAAAGAAATCATTCCTCCTGTCTTTAATTAAAATTTAAAATAAAATACCGCATATCAAATCAGTTGTTGAAATAAAAAATTTGGAACGTTCAAGAAAACGTTTTCGTTTTCAAGAAAATAAAATCCATTGAAAATTTTAAAAATACCGAATATATCCGTTATATATAGCCGACGACATGGACCTGCATAGGCAATTTGGTCATAAACAAATTCCACTATACGATACCGTGGATATATCGAATAGATCATGCCTGCAGACAAAAGGCTTCCTATCTTTCCTATCTTAATTCGTTTTGATTCTAGCGTGATTACCCCAGACGGACAGACGTACCTTCACCATTTGGTACAAATTTGGCAGTTTTCAAAAAAATAAAATCCGTTAAAAATTCTTTTAAAATCTTAAAATATTACAATATTCAAATGCGAAACTTGAAAAAAAACTGTTTATAATGTAGCTAAAATCATCAAAATACCGAATATAGGGAGGTGCCATGGGGGTTATAAAACGTGGACCTGCACAGACAATGATTAACTCACTGGGTTTAATAGATTCGTAATCATCGCCGTAATTCTCAACGCAATTAAAAATAAAAACATTGGTTGGTGGCAGAAAGATCCAATTTTCCACAAATAAAAATTCTATCGATGGTTTATGTGGCGTTTCCACTGCACTTGATTCGCTCTCTATTCGTTGTTTGACCCTTAACTATGAAAAAACTACCTAATTCTTCACACAAAATTTCCTGAGCGAACACTCATATTTGTACGTTGTTCAAATCAAATCACTCTCAGAACAACGAAAGAATATGTCCCATCCCTAACAAATGAGAGCATTTATCGAAAAAATAAATTATGACATTTAAAAATTAAAAATAGAAAAATTTAATGAAATTTTAAAAATTTTTGGGAAGACTGAAAATTATGAATGAAAACTACAATGTTGAATGGCGTATGTACATTCAAACGAAAGTACATTTTGTTTTCTCTCTCATTCGAGGTACGCATTTTATCCACGAGTTGAAATTTCCACAGAAAACTGCAAACAAAAGAGGCAATATTTTCAAAAAGTTTGTATCGGCAGAAAAAATGTTTGACAAGTGTCTCTCCAGCAGAATATAAAAATAGAAAAATACAAAAATATGTTCAAAATGTCAACATTTACACAAAAAGTTTAAAACGTGAATGAAAATTATAAAATTAATGATGTAATAAATCTTTGGGAGAAAAACAAACATTTGTTCTATTCATATTAGTGAGAATTTCATGTATTTTCGTATAAATTCCCATTAAAATTAACAAACAAAATTTTTGAAAAAAGGAATTATTTTACTATGAATTACGAATCGTGCCGTATGAACGGGTTAATTCGTGTACCTAATTCTGAGAGCGAACAACGTTGTTCGGTTTCCAATGGAAACATGCTATTACGCCAAGTAAACGATGGAGATTGTTGTCAAAAATATCGAATGTTGTGCATATCGATAGTGTGCCAGCTCTATTTCGACACCCAAAAGTCGATTAGTCAAAAGCCGACTAACGTATCCCTAAACACAAAAAAAGTCAGAAGTAATTTTATTTTTGTATTATGCATGTCGTGTCGTTCGGTTATTTTCCGTCTCGTTTTTAAGGGTATTATTTTTTTTGTCGAGAAAGGAAGGAATACAAAGGAACCAACGTAAAATAAAACAAGAAAATAAGGGAACAAAGACTACTGAAATCTATGTATAATTTGAGAAAACAGCAACAACAACTAATATTTCATAAACAAATACGAAAAAAAATATTTAGAAATACCGTCGAAAATGTAAACGCTCCCCTAAAATTAAAAAAGTAAAATTAATAAAAAAATTGATTATTAATACAACAAACACTGCCTAAGCAAATTTGTATAATTAATTTATTCTTAGAATTAATGATTTAAAACTCGCGAGTTGTAAGTAAAAATCTGTAAAAGAACTCGAACAAACAAGCAACAACAAAAAATGTCATTATCCAGACTAGCGAGGTGAGTAGTTGTTGTGTTTTAAGCAAAATAAAATGGACTCGGCACCGACATATGATAAGAAAACATCCACCTTATCTGTTGTTTGTAAATAGTGAAAGCTTGTGTTACACGCAAGGAAGAATACACGAACAGCCGGCTTTCGGTCTGTTTCAAATGGCCTTTAAAAGATCGACAGCTCGCTAATCATTCCCTTAAGGAAATCATGGCAACATGCCTCAAGACGCGATGAAGGCGACATATACGACTTCTATCGTTTAAAATAAGCTTATTTGTTGATCAGATGTTTAAAGGTTTGTGTACCTGCATTTTGTACTAAATTTTCGACTATATGGGTTTGTTAGTCAAGAAGAAATACTTTTCAGGAACCTTGTAAAAACTGCGGA